CTTTCTTTCTTTCTTTCTTTCTCTCTCTCTCTCTCTCTCTTTCTTTCTTTCCTTCTTTCTTTCTTTCCTTCTTCCTTCCTTCCTTCCTTCTCTCTCTCTCCCCCCTCCCTCTCTCCCTCCCTCTCTCCCTTTCCTCCCTTTCCTTCCTTCCTTCTTTCTTTTCTTCTCTCTCCCTTCCCTCCCCTCCCTCCCTCTCTGCTTTCCTTCCTTCCTTTTTCTTTTTTTAAAATTAATGAAAGTTTACATTTCATTCATTTTTGCACTTTTCTCCCTGCCCAACCCCCCACCCCAGTTTGTTCTTCTCTTTGAAAAGTAAAAGAACAATTCTTTCATTGTTATGCAATCCCTCCCTCCAAGTCCACTCCACTATGTAGCCTTACCAGGGGTTTATTGGCTATCGTCACAATGGAAGCTATCACCAGGCCTTGTGTTCTTAAGTGGGTGGGTTTGAATCACCAGACTTTTGGCTACTAGTCTAGTACAAATCAACCTATTTTCTCATATACCCACCCACTGCCATCAAGTGGATTCCACCTCTTAGTGACCACATCAAACAGAATAGAATGGTCCCACAGAGTCTCCAAGGCTCTATAATCGTTACAGAAGCAGATTGCTGATAGTTTTGAATGTCTGACATTTTGGTTAACAGCCATGCGCTTCACCACTGGACTACCAGGGTACCTCTTTTTCTTACATTAAAAATCAAATAGTGAACCAAACCTGTTGCCACTGAGTGTATTCCAACTTATACTGACTGTACAGAACAGAGTAGAAATTTCATGGAGCTCTGGCTGAGTAGTGTGAGACAAGTTGTGCTGCTAACCCAAAGTTCAGTGATTCAAATCCATCAGCCACTGTGCAGGAGAATGATGGGCTGTCTCCTCTGGCAAAGCTCTGCAGTCTTAGAGACCTGGGGCCACCGTGATGGGAATCAACTTGAAGGCTTTGAAGCACTGACTTTTCAGTTAGCAGCTGGGCAAATAAAGGTGTAGTCACACTGGGTCCAGACAGATATAAGGGCCAGTGGGAAGCAGCTGGGGAGGATCACTCCCTTTGTGGACTATCTCTGGCGGGTCCAAAGCCTGAGTGGTCCAAACTGCTAACATGCTTAACAGCTAACTGAAAGGTTAGAAGTTCAAGCCCACCCAAAGGAAGCTTAGACTAAAACCCCTGGCAATAATATACTTCCAGAAAGCCAGTCATCGACAGGAAAACCCTGCTCTGACACACCTAGGCTCATCATGAGCTGAGCTGACTAGACTGCAGGTCGACCTTGGAATAGAATATTGTAGGTTTGGTTCCAGAGCACCGCTTTATAGCAGCTGTCACAGTGAAACAAGTCACACAAACGTTTTGACTTCCCTGTGGTTATAAAAAGTATGTTTTGACTGGGAGATTGTTATTGCCATCAAATTAGAACCGACTCATAGCTGACCTTCCAGAGGCTGTAAATCATATGGGAGAAGATTGAGAGGCCCTGCCTTTGGGTTGGCAGCACAGTCCCTGGAGGCACCACCACCACAGTGTACTGCACTGTATGCTTATTTATTAAAAGATCCCTGGTGGTATACTGGGTTAAGGGTTGGGCTGCCAGTGCTAAAGAGAAAGATGAAATCATCTTCTGTTAAGATTCACGGCCTTGGAAATCTGATGGAGGGTCTCCAGGAGTGAGAGTCACTCAGCAGTGGTGGGTTTTTCTTTCAGTTCATGATCTTCTAAGTGAACATGTTGTTGTTAGGTGCCATAGAGTTGAGTGCAACTCATAGCAACCCTGTGACTAGTCAACCTGAACTTTGTCCTATCCTGTGCCGTTCTCATCATCTCTGACGCACCAAAGCCCATTGCTGAAGTCACTGTGTCAATCCATCTCATTAGAGGTCCTTCTCTCCTTCGCTGACCCTCCATCTTTCCAAGGAGTTGCTTTATCTAGCTACATGTTCAAAGTATGAAAGATGAAGCTTTGACAGCTTTGCTTCCAAGAAGCACTCTGGCTACATTTTCCCCCAAGACATCTGTTTGTTCTTTTAACAG